GCTGCTGCTGCTGCTGGTGCTGCTGATGTGTGCTGATGCTGCTGTGTGCTGCTGCTGCGGTTTGTGGGGGTGCTGCTGTCGCCGCTGCTGCTGGTCGGCGCTTCGCGGCTCTCGCCGCTGCTGCTGCTGCTGCTTGCACTACTCTGCTGCTGCTTCACACTGTGATTCTGCTGCTGTTGCTGCTGCATGTTTAGAGCAGCAGCAGTAGCAGCAGAGGTAGCGTGGGATGCAAACCCAGTTCTGTCTGCGCCTCTGGCAGCCTATAGCTTTCTCCGAACAGCAGCAGCAGCAGCAGAAGGAGCAGCAGCAGCAACAGCAGCAGCCGCAGCAGCAGGCTGGCGTGCACGCGGGCTTTACTCATTTGACGTTTTGCTGCTGCTGCTGCATGCAGACTACATAATGGGGGGCCCCATTGGGTACAGCAGCACAGACACGGGGACGCGGCAGCCAGTGGTGATTATGCTGCGCCCCAGCAACAGCAGCAGCAGCAGCAGCAGCAGCAACAAAGTGTCTTGCTTCCTCGCGGGAGAAGAAATAGACATAAAAGAAATGCAAAACAAAATGAAAGAAATTATGAGCAGCCAAGGAGAAGCAATCAGCAACGAAGAACTCGAAGTCGAAATCGCTGTCCCAAACGGTTAGACTGCTGCTGCTGCTGCTGCTGCTGCTGCTGCTGCTGCTGCATGACTGCTGCTGCTGCTGCATGACTGCTGCTGCTGCTGCTACCGCTGCTGCATGACTGCTGCCGCATGACTGCTGCTGCATCACCGCTGCTGCTGCATTGCTGCTGCATGACTGCTGCTGCATTCCTGCTGCTGCTGCTGCCGCACCGCTGCTGCTGCTGCACAACTGCTGCTGCCGCTGCACCGCCGCCGCTGCTGCCGCTCCCCGCGCGCGTGCCCCAGCCCCACCCCCCCGCCCCCGCTGCTGCTGCTGCTGCTGCTGCTGCTGCTGCTGCTGCAGGGGTGCACGCGGTGTTCGTGGACCTTCCGGGCTTGAAGGAAGACTCGAAGCAAGGAGCAGCAGCAACTCGCGCGGTGGTTCGCTCTTATGTGCAGCACAACCCCAACGACCTTTACCTGCTCGTCAAGAAGGCCAGCGACGACCCCGCCAACTGGCCCTGGACCCTCAGGGAGTTCATACTCGCGCCCAGCCCCAAGGGTCTGCTGCTGCTGCTGCTGCTGCTGCTGCTGCTGTGCTGCTGCTGCGGGGGCTGTGCTGCTGCTGCTGCTGCGGGGGCTGTGCTGCTGCTGCTGCTGCTGCTGCTGCGGGGGCTGTGCTGCTGCTGCTGCTGCTGCGGGGGCTGTGCTGCTGCTGCTGCTGCTGCTGCTGCTGCGGGGGCTGTGCTGCTGCTGCTGCTGCTGCTGCTGCTGCGGGGGCTGTGCTGCTGCTGCTGGGCTGCGGAGGGGGAGGAGGAGGAGGAGGCTGCTGGGGAGGCTGCTGAGGGGGCTGCCGAGGATGCTGCTGCTGCTGCTCCTGAGGATGCTGCGGATGCTGCTGCTGCTGCTGCTGCTGCTGTTCTTGCTGCTGGGAATGCTGCTGCTTAGAGTGATCATCCTCGTGCTGCTGCTGGCGCTGCTGCTGCGGCAGCTGCTGGGTTTGTTGCTGCTGTAGCGGCTTGCCGTGGCTAAAGCTAGTGCTGCCGCTGCTGCTAATGCTGCTGCTGCTAGTGCTGCTGCTGTTAGTGCTCCTGCTGTTAGCGCTGCTGCTGCTGCTTGCGGAGACGCTACCAGTGCTGTGCACACCGGGCGCGCTGCTGCCGCTGCAGCAGCAGCAGCAGCAGCACCGTTGGAAGTGAATTATAAATGCGAAAATGGAGATATTGAATTGAAACTTTCTCTAAATTGTTTTATTCTTCAGGCCTCGGACTAAGTCCCTCGCAAACTGTCGTGGTGGGCACAAGAGCTCGGGAGTTTTTGCAAAATGAAAAAAGCGACGTGAAGACGCAGCAGCAGCTGCTGGAGCGCGTTCGAAAGCGCGCAGTGAAGGTGAAACTTGGTTCTTTTTACTTCATTTTTAATGCGTTTTGGTTCATTTTTAATGCATTTTAATGCATTTTTGATGCATTTTAATCCACTTTCAATCCACTTTTGTCTCGGTTGCCTTTGTGCATTCAAAGCGCCTTCAGATGAGCTGCGCAGAGACTGTCTTGGATACACGCAGAACGCCCAAATGCAGCCGCAGCCGCAGCCGCAGCAGCAGCAGCAGCAGCTGCTGCTGCTGCTGCTGGTATTCCCGTAGCTGCTGCTGCTGCTGCTATTGCTGCTGCTGTTGCTGCTGCTGCTATTGCTGCTGCTATTGCTGTTGCTGCCGCTGCTGCTGCTGCTGCTCAGGACGCTTCTGGGGAGAGTTTGCCTTTGTATCTTCTGGAGTTGTTTTCTTTGTCTTTGGAAGAAAAAGAAAAAGGAGACTTCCGTAGCCGCAAAGAAGCGATGCAGCAGCAAATGCAAAAAGGCCTCAAAGAGGTGCAGCAGCTGCTGCTCACAGCTTTCGAGCCTTCCCCTGAGCACCAAACACTTCTCGACTACTTCAGTCCTTCCAAGTTCAAAAAAGAACTCAACCAAAAGTTCCAGGCAAGCTGCTGCTGCTGCTGCTGCTGCTGCTGCTGGCTGTTTTTATTGCACTGCTGCTGCTGCTTGCTGTGCTGCTGGTTCTGTTTGTTGCGCTGCTGCTGCGGGCTGTCGCGCCGTTGCTGCTGCTGCTGCTGCGGCCAGTGTTGGTCGCGTTGCTGCTCCGCAGCCATTTATTCGTTTGCTGCTTCTGCTGCAGCCCAACTTGTGGCCACTAGCAGCAGCTTTTGCTGCTGCTGCTACTGCTAACCCTGCTGCTGCTGCTGCTAACAAACCTACCGCTGCTGCTGCTGCTAGCTGCAGCTGCAAACCCCAGCCGCTGCTGCTGGTGCTGCTAACCCCGCCGCTGCTGCTGCTGCTACCCGTACTGCTGCTGCTGCTGCTGCTGCTGCTGCAGGGCCTGTTGTCTGAGCAGCTGAGCCTGCTGGAGAGGCGGCTGGGCCGCAAGCGTAGAGACACTCAAAAGAAGATTGCAGAAATAGAAGACCAGTTGGTGCAGCAGTCTCCCCAGTCCATAAGGTGGAATTAAAATAAATTAAATTAAATTAATTTCATTTTTTAATTCTTTTTTCTTCTTTTCTGTCTCCTTTTCCACTTCCTTTTGCTTCTTCTGGGCCCCTTGTATCTCCTTTTCTTTCTGCTTTTTTTCCTCTTTTTGTTTTT